ACAGGCGTACAGGCTTGAGGTAGCCCTGGAAATAGATAGAAGTGATAGTGTTTCCCTGTGTGACCTTCAGACACACTGAAATGGGGTAATCATAGTATTTTTTCATAGTTGTGACCAAGAGCTAGGATCTCAACTTGGGATTTATCCCCCTGGCACTATAATACAGTGAAGATAACCCCCAAGGGTCCTGCTGTATTTTACTGCTGTCACTTTCGTTGACATGCTAGATGTTTGGTTTCTGATAGTCTTTCACATCACATCAAGATCTAGAAACTGAAAATTCTTATTTATTCTGCAATATTTGGGAATTTCACAAGTATGGGACTGATACTTTTCTGTGAACATACTATTAGCTTTTTCTTTCAGTGCTGAATCATAGTGGAATCTTTGTGTAGACATTTTAATAAGCATCAAACTAAGTTAAATTTTAGTTGCAGGAGAGCTGTCTATCTGTGTGTCTATCTAGAGATCGTCCATCCTAGTGAACTACCTAAGTGCAGATACCTTTGTTTTTCATCCCTACACTGGGTAGCACTTTGCATATTGATATGCCCAATGAATAACTGCAGGATTAAATGGAAGTCAAGGTGATGGCTTAGCACTGTGGAGTAGGGAATGGAACTTGGGCTCTGGGGTGATGGGAAGGATATGTCATTTTATACCTTTTCTTTACATAGGAATTTTGCCCCATGCAAGCATTTGAAAATTAAAACAACAACCTAGATTAATAAAAGGGAAGGGAGGTAGTCAGGAGCTAGAGCTATCAATTAATAAAGTACATTTGAGTTTTAAGAAATGGGAAATAAAGCTCATGTGTCCGTGGGCATCTTTAAATTCCTGTTTTAACTTCCTTTGTTTTACCATATCCTAAAGCAGCAGTCTTGTATTCAATCAACTCTGATTTAGAGTAGCAAAATAAAATTTTTAATTTCCCTCAAGAGATAAAGCCTTGCCTGGTTAAGCTTTGTATTATATTTGTCTTGTGACCTGTTCTTACAGATTCTCACTGAAAGAGTAGTAAGAGAAGCCCTTTAGCATTGACTTTTTCAAGTTTGCCATAATGTGATGACCTCTTTGAAAGGAAAAGTACAGAATGTGTTTTTATGATGTTACTTATATTGTACAGACATGAAAGTAGTTATAAAATTCTTTGTTTCTTATTCATCTACCACTATAAACCAAATCTGCAAATTAAATACAAAGAAAACTACAAAAAAATCAAATTAATACAATTATTCACTGTGGCAGATGATGTTTAGATTTTATGGTGGGAAAAAAAAAGCCTTAGGACTGATGCTGTTTTAAATCTGTTCCAGTATTTTAACTTCAGTGAAGTAAAAGCTGCAAGTGCCTATTCTCATCAGTAGTGTTGTACAAGATGGTATTAATGACTTCAGGGCTTTGTTGGTAAGTTCAGGATAATGAGACCTCATACCTAACTAAAACACTTGCTAGCTAGCATTCCTCAAATACCAGTTAATGAGATGTCAGTTGTTTTGTTCATGGGAAGGTAGGGTTAATATTACTGTACTATTGAAATATTCATTAAATGGTTTTCTAAACCAATTTTTGCTGGAAGTGAGAATGGAAAAATGTCATTGAATACTTACAATCACATTACTACTAATGAATGTTTGCAAACTGTACTATAAAGATAGGATTCATGTATTGTAGTGCATATATGGTTGGCTGTTAAGACTAGTTTGGCTATATCATGCCCATATTGCCTTATGCTTCTGTGATTCAGGTTTTCCCTTTATCTTTTATTCTATTACAGTTACTGTGAAACTTGCTATATAGAAAGTGTGCCACTTGACAGGAATGAAAGCGTCACACTTCTGCAAGAACCAGCAGGGAAAGCTTAGGGACAGTGCTTGCTTAGATGGTGATTACTCAGATCCACATTGTTTATCATTGTTTTTAGGTTAACTTTGAGATGAAAATGCATACACAATTCTTAGATTCCTCCAACTTTCCCAATAAGTTTGTGATCTCTTGTGTGAGAAACACTGTTTTAGCAAATATTTTTCTGGTCACTGTTTAAAGGATCCAGAATTCAAAGACATACAAAACAAAACAACATGGCCTTTTTTAATAGTGCTTTTCTAGTAGTGAGAGACACTAACAAACTATAAATAGATTGATTTGTGCCTCTCCTCAAGGTATGCAGAAAGATGTGGGGACATAGTGAAAGAAGTACTTGTCATTTGAAGGGGTGAGGTGTAGGGCACATATGAAGGTCTTGTTTCAGTAGGTCTTAAAGGGTGAGAGGCAAAAGAGAGGTCAGTTTAAACCAGGCAGACAGAAAAGACACATGTAAAAACCAAGGTCATAAAAAGACATTATCATCATAATGCTAAGAAGTTTTTTGCCCTAGTAAGTCTTAATTGTTACACCAAGTGTTTATTTAGGCTTTGTCTCATACCCTAGGTCAGCCATGATGGTATTAGAACTGAGAGAGCATTGATGATGGTATTTGGTGCTAGTGTTTGAACTAAGAACCTCACACTTGCTAGCTAGGTGCTGTACTATTTGAGCCACACCCTCAGCCCTTTTATGCTTTAGTTATTTTTCAGGTAGTGTCTCACATTTTTGTCCAAGGCCAGCCTCACACTGTAGTTTTCTTGCTACACTTCCCATGTAGCTGGGATTATAGGCATGCACCACCACACCTGGCTTATTTATGAAGATGTGGGTCTCACTAACTTTTTGTTCCAGCAGGCCTCAAACCTCATTCCTTCTGATCTTTGTCTCCTGAGTAGCTGGATTACAGTTGTGGGCCACTGCACCCAATAATAGTGGTAATTTTTACACAGCAGTTACCATATTCTGTTCTAATGTTCTCCGTTGGTAGTGCTTGGAGCTCTTCAAGGACAGTGACCATAAGTTATTTTTCTTTTGGTGGGACTGGGATTTGAACTCAGCTTTGCAGTTCCAAAGCAGGCACTTTATCACTCGAGCCACAGCTCCAGTCCATTTTGCTATGGTTCTTTTGGAGATGGAGTCTTACAAGCTATTTGCCTGGGCTGACCTCAAACCGCAATCCTCCTAGATCTCAAGCCTCCCAGGTAGTTAAGATTACGGGTGTGAGCCACTGACATCTGCCTGAGTTATTAATTTTTATATGAAGCTTTTGGTAGAGTAACTGATAAGTAAGACTTCATTGCTGTTACAAAATACCTGACATAAACAACTTAAGGGAGGAAGGATTTATTTTGCTCACGGCTTTAGAGATTTCAGTCCATCATGGCAGGGAGGGTATGACAGAGCAGGGCAGCTCACATTATGGCAGCCAGAAAGGGGAGGGAGGGTTGAGAAATAGGGACAGAGGAAGGGAGAGAGGGAAGAAATATGAACATGCCTGTGTCAACTGGCTTTTCCCTCTTTCCCCTTTTATTCTATGTGTCCCAGCCTGCAGGGATGGTGCTGCCCACATTCAGGTGGTCTTAATCCTCTCTTGATACCCTCAGACACACCCGAAGGTGTACTTTACTGATCTTCTAGGTGCCTCTGAATCCAGTAAACTTGATAATGCAGTTTTAACCATCACAGTCATGTATGCTTGCATGTAGGCTTATATTACTGATTTCAGCTACTGGAACTTCTCTGCCCCTACCCCAACAGCAAAAATAGATACGCACTATGAATCACATTGTTAGCATAAACTGGTCAAATTAGTACCAAGTGGCCTAAGGCCTCAAGCATATAAAAACATTCTAAACAGAATATTCCAAAGACTCAGAGCTCATCTCACAGGAGCCAGTCAAGGCCAGTCCCTTGGGAATGTGCAGTTTGAGCAGCTCAGGCCTTTTGCATTAACGTCCCTCTACAGTAAGTTAGTCATTTGGGGAGTAGTTAGTGTTCTTCTGGTCTACTGTCTGCCTAGCTACTTCTTTTCTGGATGCATTGGACCTTCCTGGTCTCATAGATGGCCATTCCACACACCTGGGCTTTTCCTTTTCTCTTGCCAATGAGTAATTAGAAAGCCTGATTAGATTTAAGGACATGTGTATGCTTTGCAGCTTCATGATACTACAGTGAAATATAAGTGCCCATTCTGACATATATTCAACAAGCATTTTTTGAATGCTGGTATGTATCAGGCATAGTGCTAGATGGTAGATTTACAGAAATGATTAATACAGGCCTCTGGCCTCAAGGAGCTTACAAATTCTCATGAACAGAAACAAACTAAAAACAGTTATTCTGAGCTGTTAACTTCATGAGAAAGTATGGCTGAAGGGGTGTGTAAGTATCTGTATATATGGGAAGATGTTGGTGATAATTAGAAGACTTCCCTAAAGGGGTCATTTCTGCAGTTGAGCCATAAAGATCAAATGATACAGGTGGACTTGAGCTAGTGTTTCTCCAGTTATTTGTGTAGTTTTGTTGCCTGTGTAATTGGAGCATATATGAATTGTTACTGGTATAGTCTGTTTGATTTCAGTGAGAGAAACCCCATACTAACCAGAAGGTATATGTCTTTCTCAGGGTTTGCACAAAGATAAATAGAGTATCTGGCTCAATATGAATGTATATCCATTACTCCATTACCATAAATCCACTGATAGGGCATTTCCAACAGTGAGTCAGTGGTAGTGTTATCACACGTATTTCCACAGTGGGGGGCATATGTGAATCCATTGTTTTGGGCTTAAGAACAAGTAAAACCATTAAAAATTTAAATGCACATTGTTTTGAATGGGAAGGAAAATGCTTCCCTTAGTTCCATGAAATTTTGTGTAATAATTTTTTTTCTATACTTAGAATCAAAACATTTTTAGGAGAAAGCCTGAGTCCAAATTTTACTATATTTCCTTGGGCCTTTATATTTATGTGGCTCTCAAAAGAATTTTATGTTCTAAGAATGATTAAGACTTTGTTTTTTTGAACAGTGAATAAAAATTTAGGATCAAGAATATATTAATAGAGTAAATGTTAGTAATTTCAAACTTAATCTTGAGATGTTTTTTCTAAAAGAATCTTATCTCTTTTTCTAGCATTACAGTGTTTTTGCCACCTGTGTACAAAAGACAATTTTACCTGTGTGACAGATGGACTCTGCTTTGTCTCTGTCACAGAGACTACAGATAAAGTTATACACAATAGCATGTGCATAGCTGAAATTGACCTAATTCCTCGAGATAGGCCATTTGTATGTGCACCTTCTTCAAAAAGTGGAGTTACTACTACACCATATTGCTGCAATCAGGACCACTGCAATAAAATAGAGCTCCCAACTACTGGTAAGTTGTTGTATAATACTTTCGTTTGTTTTGTTTTGTTTTTCCCTAGGTACCATAAGAAACGCTCTTAGATTCTGACTATGATTGCAGAACTGGAAGGGATGGTAGAAAAGATCTAGCCCACTTGGTCAAGGTAGAGGCAGAAAGTGTTCATAGTTACAGAGTTGTTAAAGAGTAGCTATGATCCTGACTCCTGGATAGGTGTTATAGGAGGTGGTTCTAGAATAGACTTTAAGTGAGATCTGTTATGCCTAAAAGAGTGTCCCTCTCCTCCCCCCTTTGGTGGTACTGGGGTTTGAATTCAGCCTTGCACTTGTGAGGCAAGTGCTCTATCACTTGAGTCATGCCCCCTATTCCTAAAAAGGATAGCAATCAACAGCCTTTTATGGGCAGGGAGTGAAAGCAGCACTATACAGTCTGGATGATTTATTTATTTTTTTCTATTTCAGCCTAGATGTTTTTGTTTTGTAATTTCACTTTATGATCTTTATGTATAAATTAATTATGATTTCTAGATTTTTTAAATCACTTGTAGTTTACACTTTAAAAGGTCCTGAAAGCAAGTAATTTGATTATTTCATCAGCTCTTAGGACTGGATTAATTTTAAGGTTCTAAGTTAAATGGAAGTTTGCTTCTTTCCCCAAGTCCCAAATTCCTACTATAATAATCAAAGAAATACAAAAATATGGGGAAGTCTATATTAATGTTAGAAGAATTAATGGAAGAATGCCACTCCCATGGCAACACTTGTTAGGAGCTTCTATAATTCATATACAAAAGACTCTAGGTTAATGTCCGGGAGTTAGTGAGTGATGCACTTGTTCTGGGTTTGAGCAACTATGGTGAAGTTCTGTGACTTAAATTGTGGCAGTGGCCACTTATAGAAAATGAGGAGGATTAGGAAAATGTGGGTGCCACCTACAGTGTTTTGTTGTTGTTGATGTTTATTTCATTTGAGGCCCTTTTTCAGTGAAGCAATCACCTGGCCTTGGTCCTGTCGAGCTGGCAGCTGTCATTGCTGGACCAGTCTGCTTCGTCTGTATCTCACTCATGTTGATGGTCTATATCTGCCATAACCGCACTGTCATTCACCATCGAGTGCCAAATGAAGAGGATCCTTCATTAGATCGCCCTTTTATTTCAGAGGGTACTACATTAAAAGATTTAATTTATGATATGACAACATCGGGGTCTGGATCAGGTAATGTAATTGTTTCACCTTTTTCCCAAGAAGCATTTTAAAAAAATAACTCATTTATTTCAGTATTGGCTAAGCCATTTGGCCTAGCTTGTTAAAACTTGGGCAGTGTTAACAGTATTCCAGGTTTGATCCTAATAAAGTTCTTTAAAGCTTGGTCTATCTCTTGACTGGTTAGTTTAGTACAAACAATATAACTGGAAAAAAAAAAAAAAAACCCGAAGGGGAAGTGTCTTCTGCTTTTTCTTGCATGTGGTTTGTAAGGAGGCTCAGAAAGGAATGTCCCTACCCCCTGCAGTTTGTAATTTTGGAATTTGATACTTAGCTAGAAATCAGTAGATCTAGATTTCAACATGAGCTTTGTCATTGATTGGCTTTATGGCCTTGACTAAACTATATTACCTCTTTGGACTTCTATTTCTTCTTCATCAGAAATAGCAGAACAGAAGCTAGGTGTGGTGGCCCATGCCACTATACCTAGGAGGTGGAGGCAGGAAGATCATGAGTTGGAGGCCAGCCTGGGCTACATAGTGATACACTGTGTCTTACAAACACACAAAAAAAAAAACAAAAGAAATACAGATAAATCATACTGTTGATAAAAATACTTAAAGTGGTGTATTAGGACTTTTAAATATGATACATATCCTTTGAAAATTGTAAATCAGCTTCAGGTAACAGCTCAATTCATGGATAAAATGAAGATAAGGAACAAAAACTTTACTAATTTTATAAGGAACATTAAAACAAGTTGTTACTAAATAGTGTAGTTCTGAAGCACAAAATGACATTAATGGTATGGAAAGTTCACATAATGACAAATGTCTATATTTTAAGGAAATTAATACACATATTGATGTGTGTACATGTCATTTAAGTATCATAGGGAAACTGATTCCATCACCCTGAAGTCCTCTTCTTTAGAGTTTGACAGTATGTATATTCTTCCTCTAGCTGCTAGAACACATGTAGGTGTCACTGGATCCTAGATCTGTTAAGACAGCCTTAGGGATTCCATACTGGTCTACAGTGTAGGAGTGAGGCAGTGAGAGGTTAGGCTGAGATGGAGCAGCATGAGTATTGAAGATATAACCATCTTTGACAAGAGTGGTTGAAAGGACATTTTAGGCCTTTCTTGAATTTTTCCATTGATCTGAGTCAAATCAAATGGTTCTCAAAGAAAAGTTTTTGGTTTTTTGCGGGGGAGTAAGTTATTCTGGTCCCTAAGTATGATAAGCAAGGACCAAAGTTTCAGAAAGCTATGTGGCTGCAGATCACTTGACTTAATCCCTTGGATCTGCCTGTTATTTGCCAAATTTATAGCCAGTGAAATCAAAGCAGCTCATGTTCACAAGCCCACCTAGATGATTAAAGACATTGCTGTGTAGGTGACATTGATGTCTTAACAAGAGTATTTTGCCTTTTAAAATGTAGACATGAAATATTACTCTTTTTCCACTTTATATGTATTTCACAGTTCATCAGGAACTATAGGCCTATATTGTCTGAAAGCTTCTCTCTTTGCAAAAACTTGCCTACATCATTTATGGTTTTGGGCAGTTAGTTAGCTGATGTCTCATGCTTGAGCTATTTCATCTTTAAAATAAAAGTGATGAATAGTACATGTTATTGGATTGTTATGGAATTGAAGTGAGTCAAGATGTTTGTGTGAAAGCACTTGGTAAATTGAGGGTTATGTCCAAATGACAGGTGTTACTCCTGAAAATTCTGACATAAAGTATCAGTTTGCTGCATTGTACAAAAAAAAAAAGGTTAGTTTAAGTCCTCCATTCTCGGTTGCATAGTTTATTATGTTCTGAATTCTCTTTGAGCTTATCTAAGCTGAGGCATCTTCTGTTGAATGAGAGTAGAAAAGGCCATTTCCCTTATAATTGTTATAAAGCCTTAATGCCACCTTGTGCCCTAGAACAAGTAAAATGTCTATTCATAATATTCTTTTCAGTTCTTTCAGTCATTGAGGAAAAGATAAAACTAAGTATTTCCTGTTTTGAAGTCACATGTTTATTACTCAGTGCTATGACCATGTTTGAGGAAAAGCCTTATCTCTACCTTTCAAAGACTACTTTAACTTGAGAAATATAGGGAAGACAGTGAAGAACTGGCTGTAGCAGCTTTCACCTTGAAGCTAACCTAATCTCTGTTGCATTAATTTTAACCATAGGTTCTACATGTGCCCATATTTAAGCTATAATTAGATTGTAGAATATTTACCAGTTTTTTGAAAGAATGAGTTTCTTAGGACACTGTTCATTAGGTCTTGTGTGTGTTCATGATCTCTTGTATCATATGCCTATTGCTCAGGCTTCTTTCCATTGTTTACTGCATGTGAAGCTTTTGGAACCCTGATTCCCTACTGAAGCAATTTTAAACATATAGAAGAATAAAACAGAACAGAGAGATCTAAATTAGGTTTATTTTTGTCATTAGAAGAAAACTTTTATTTTTTTAAATACTCTAGTATTCGTATGGGTTAAACCCAAAATAGTATGATGAATCTAAATTTGGTTTTTAATTTTAATTCTGCATTTAGAATCCAGTGGTGAAAGGGAAGACAAAACTTTCTTGAGTGTTACTGTTTACATAAGTCCTAAACCTGTCAGGCATTTTCAGACTTCCTATTTGTTGTTGTTTTTTCTTTTTTATTACTGGCTTTTGTAACTTCCAGATTAATCTCTTGAAATTAAGTCTCAGTATACTTTGAAATACATTGCATCTCCCTATACACAGCTTTCTGAAAATTTAATAAGTCATTATCTACATTAAACTACACATAGTAATTAGGAATTGATTGTTAATAGTACAGAAGAGCTCCTAGATTTAAATGAGAAATTTTGCAAATATTTTTATCTACTAGTCTCTATAAAAACAATTGTTTATAATTAGACTGCTTATGATTAACTGCTTTGCTGTAGGTAGGGAAGGGGTAAGCAAGGGGACGAAAGACCCATGTGAAAAACTTAAAGACAAAAGGGTTCTGATCACTTTAAATATTTAGCATTTGGGCTGAAAAGCATTTCTCATCAGGGAACCAAGGGTAGATTATTTCATGGACTGTTTTGGGTTAATTTGATCTAGAAAGTGTCTCTGAGTATAGATTATAAATGACACAGATTTATGTCTACATAGATCATATAAATACTAGCATAGAACATGATGTACACACTGGTATTTTACTTATGTAAAGCAGTTCTTTAATTGGTGGGGGATATGATATTCAGTGATTGTCCTATTTAAGTTATAAGTAAATGGTAAATTCTTTTAAATGAGGTAAGTATGACCATATTTAAAAGTACGGATTTTGGAGAAAAACAGGATCAGGTATCAAAAAAACCCACAACTGCCTCATCATCAAGGTAAGTTTCATCATATCATTTTAGTGTTGCCTAGGTGGCCAGTTCCTAGCAAATGAACTGCCTGCCTTGAAATAGTTTCTCTGATAAGTTTTAATGATTTATTAAAAAGCTACAATTTATTTCTGTGTTTTGTTGTGTTCATGACCTTTTCTCCTCCCAGCAGTAAAACCATTATCAGATTCATCTTTTTAAAATAAGATTTTAAAATTATTTCCCTCCATTAGTGACCCTTTTTTCAAAATTACCCACAGACATTACTGGTTATCATGAGCCTGGCTTTCAGTACCCTTCGTCTTCTAGTGACACCATACCTTCTCTTCTACTGCCTTGTCATGTACAGTCTCTGATTACCCAGGTGGTTCTTGAAACATGCATGTTTATTTCCACCATCCATCTTTGCTGCATACTCCTTCTGCCTACCTAATCACCTTATTCTTTCTTTGTCCTTTGGTCCTATCCCTTCTGTAAAGGGCAGAGTTCATCTTACTTTACAAAGCCTACCCTCATGCTGTAGTCAAGACTTTGTGGATTCTTTTGTTGCATTTATTATTGTATTTTCCCTTTACATCAGTGTTTTTTTTTTTTTTGCAAATGTAGTCTATATCTCCCCAGTGGTTCTAGGTTCCTTTAAAGTACAGCTTAAGGAACAATCCCTGCTGGGTCACTCTTTTGTGTATTTAGGACACATATTGTTGATTGTTTATGTTGAACACCATTTATTTTTGTCTGTAGGTTTACCGTTGCTCGTTCAGAGAACAATTGCAAGAACTATTGTATTACAAGAAAGTATTGGCAAAGGGCGATTTGGAGAAGTCTGGCGAGGAAAATGGCGGGGAGAAGAAGTTGCTGTGAAGATATTCTCCTCTAGAGAAGAGCGTTCATGGTTCCGTGAGGCAGAGATTTATCAAACTGTAATGTTACGCCATGAAAACATCCTGGGATTTATAGCAGCAGACAACAAAGGTCAGTAACATTTGCTTATCCTTTTGCAGAGTACAACAGTGGTTAAGCCTTTTCACAGATACGACTACTAGCATTGTCAAATGGGTGAGAAATAGATTTTTGTCATAAAGATAAGACCCATTAAAATAGGATTTTCTTACCTCTTGACAACATGCTTCAAAATCTCTTGTTGGTTTATAAAATGTAGAAGAGCTGTAAAAGAAAGCTATGTATGTTTTTTGTTTTGGTGATACTGGGATTTGAACTCAGGCATGCTTGCTAGGCAGGCATTCTACCACTTGAGCCACTGCCAGCCTGAGTTTGTTATTTCAATTCTGGGAAGTTGATTGAATATAGTTATAAGATAGAAAAAGAAACAAAACTGTTAACTACAGTTGTTCAAAATTTGAGGTAGGACAGAATTTGTTTCCTTTTAATCTCTTTCTCTTGACTAGTGACTTTTGCCAGTGGGGTTGGGGGTGCGGGTGCAGTACTGGGGGTTGAACTCAGGCTTTGCACTTGCAAGGCAGGTGTTCTCCCACTTGAGCCACACCTCCAGCCTGTGTGATCTTATTTTTGAGGAAAGTAAAAGTAACTTCTCAGCGTATTCTATATTCTGAGTTGCTAGGGCATAAATACTAATCTTTTAAATAAGCTTAGTTAAGCAGAAGTAGTTTCTCCCAAACCACCTGGCCATTGGTAACTAGGTGGACACTTCTTGTAGTACAGGTGCAAGTCCGTATCAGGTCAGAAGCTGAAGAAGCAATGAAACTGCATCAACAAAGAGTCAGAATGAGTGATAGACCATTAGCAGTGAACTGAGACTCTGCTTTACCTGCCTTCTTGGTTTCAGTAAATACCTATGTGCTGCAATTGCTACTTCTACAGAATTGTATTCTGTCAGAAACTTGTGTTATGACCCAGCTCTCAGTTTTCCTATTAGAAGAAAAATGCTTTCATTATCTTTTGTAGCTTGGGCAGACCTGTCGTCATCTTTTTCCTTCTATCATTTTCTTCAGGCTTATTCTTCATAACATTAAATATTTAATCTCAGGTGGTGGTAATGCATGATTTTTATGATTTTTCTTTTTACTGTTCTGTATTTTCAGATTTATTTTACAACATGCGTGTATTGTTTATTTTAAAATTTTTGTTTATAAGCTAGGTGCCTGTAATCCTAGCTACTCAGGAGGCAGAGATCAGGAGGATTGTGGTTTGAAGCCAGCCAGGGAAAGTAGTTCGAGAGACCCTATCTTGAAAAAAACCCATCACAAATAAAAGGCCTGGTGGAGTGGCTCAAGGTGTAGGCCCTGAGTTCAAGCCCCATTACTGTATAAAAAATTGTTTATAGAAAATTTCCAATATATGGTAAGTTAGAGAGCAGCAGCATATTGATTCTCCATCAACTAGCCTTAATAATTGTCAGCTTACTGCCAGTCATTGGTCACTGATCCTGCGTACTCTTCCCCTAAACAAACTGTCTTAAGCCAATCCCAGATAACATCTTTTCATCCACAAACCTTTTCAGTTTGTATCTTTAAGTGATAAGGAGGTTCTTTTTATTTTAAAGTATCATCAAATATCCTGTTTGATTCAGATCTGCAATTGTCTCCTTTACAGAAACAAAAGCAGTTATTTATTCAGATATGATCCCAAAGCAATACATTGCTTTTGGTGTGGCATTTCTCATATATCCCTTGAAGTTTTTAGATTTCCCCTTCATCTACAAGAGGAAAACTCTTGCAGATTATTTGTTGAAGAAAGTGGATTGTTTTGTGGGTTTATCACATTCTGTAATTTGCTAATTACCGAGATATTCTGTAGCGTCTTTAAACTTTCTCCTCGGTATTTTCTTAAATTTGGTAATTAGCTTTAGAGACTGAATCCAATTGATGTTTAAGTGGTTTCCCCAAAATACACAGTAGGTATATTATAACTTCTTTATTATATCATATCAAAAGGTGTAATGTTTGATTATAATGGGGACAAATGACAGATATAAGCTGCGGTTAACAGTGGCTTTTAACAACTCAGTATTACTTAAGGATAAAAACAAAACCGGGTGCCCAGTGGCTCACAACTGTAATCCTAGCTCCTTGGGAGACTGAAATCAGGAGGATCATGGTTGAGGCCAGCCCAGGCAGGTAGTTCCGCAAGACCCCATCTCCAAAATAGCCAGAGTGAAGTGGATTGGAGGTGTGACTCAAATGGTACAGTGCTTGCTTTGTGAGTGCAAAGCCCTGAGTTCAAATCCTATCCCCCCCAAAAAAAGCCACATGCACATACATAAAATCAAGTAGTCACAGTTTGATCAAATCTTTAGTACTCATTTTCTTCTGCCTTTGACACCATTTAGCTCTTTCTTCAACTCTTTTTTTCACCATGACAATTTTTTTTAATTATCATATTATTTATTGTTGTACTGGGGTACATAGTGACATTTACAAAAGTGCTTACAATATTTCTTAGTCAAATTCACCCCCTTCATCATTCTTTATCCTTCCTCCCCCATTCTTAGATAGCTTCAACAGGTCTCATTTCCATTTTCAACATGAGTAACATAATATTTCTACTGAGACTGAATCCAATTGATGTTTAAGTGGTTTCCCCAAAATACACAGTAGGTATATTATAACTTCTTTATTATATCATATCAAAAGGTGTAATGTTTGATTATAATGGGGACAAATGACAGATATAAGCTGCAGTTAACAGTGGCTTTTAACAACTCAGTATTACTTAAGGATAAAAACAAAACCGGGTGCCCAGTGGCTCACAACTGTAATCCTAGCTCCTTGGGAGACTGAAATCAGGAGGATCATGGTTGAGGCCAGCCCAGGCAGGTAGTTCCGCAAGACCCCATCTCCAAAATAGCCAGAGTGAAGTGGATTGGAGGTGTGACTCAAATGGTACAGTGCTTGCTTTGTGAGTGCAAAGCCCTGAGTTCAAATCCTATCCCCCCCAAAAAAAGCCACATGCACATACATAAAATCAAGTAGTCACAGTTTGATCAAATCTTTAGTACTCATTTTCTTCTGCCTTTGACACCATTTAGCTCTTTCTTCAACTCTTTTTTTCACCATGACAATTTTTTTTAATTATCATATTATTTATTGTTGTACTGGGGTACATAGTGACATTTACAAAAGTGCTTACAATATTTCTTAGTCAAATTCACCCCCTTCATCATTCTTTATCCTTCCTCCCCCATTCTTAGAATAGCTTCAACAGGTCTCATTTTCCATTTTCATACATGAGTACATAATATTTCTACTGCATTCACTCTCCTTCACCCTTTCCTTATATCCATCCCCTTCCCACTGGTACAAACCCCTAGACAGGACCTTCCTGTCCTCTGTTTTTGAAAAAAAGACATTTTTGTTTGTTGAAGATATCTGTACAGAGAGTTTCATTATGGTGTTTCCATGTATATACACATATTGTATCCCACATTAGTCATCTATTCCTTCCCCCAACTCTTAAAACAGCCTTTTCTTTATTGTATTTTGTGACTCTAGACTTCTTTCTTTTGTTCATTTGCTTTGTGAAGACAGAGTTTTACTATGTAGCCTAGTCTGGTCTCAAACTCATGATCCTCCTCCCTCAGCATTCTAAGAGCTGGGATTACAGATGTGCTCCACCATACCCAGCCTATTCTTACTTTCTTAACAGTTCTTTTATTTTCTCAAAGTCTTATCTTACTGATTTATTAGAAGGCTCTAATTCTATAGATATTATTGCTTTCTTAAATGACTTAATCTACATTCCTGTTTTCAAATTCTACATGGTAGTGATTCTTAGAACTGCATTTTGAAGCTAAAATTTCTCTCAGGGCTTGTATTAGGTATGTTGCAAGTTACGTGCCCTGAACATTCGCATGGATTTGTTCAAGCAGCAACCAAGTGGATACTGTCATCTTGTGGTCACCATGGGAACTAGCTGACTCTCCTGGCTCTTCCCAACTCCTTTGTCAAGAGTGAATGGACTTTACTCAGAACCTAGACCTTCTACCTCACTTCCCCTTTCCTTTATCCTTGTGTGTGTGTGTGTGTGTGTGTGTGTGTGTATTTGTGTGTATGTAGTACTTGGGTTTGAACTCAGGGCCTCATGCTTGTCAGGCAGGTACTATACCACTTGAGCCATTCCACCAGCCCTGTTTTGTGTTGGTTGTTGTTGAGATAGGGTCTCAAGAACTATTTGCCTGGGACTGGCTTCTAACTGAGATCCTCCTCACCTGCCTCCTTAGTAGCCAGGACTATAGGTGTAAGCCACTGGCACCCTGCTTCTTTATCATCATGACCTAGTTAATTCCATTTCAGACAGCCCTGTCTATGCTCCACCTCCCACATAACCTTCCTTCTGCCTCTCTGATGAATTACCTCAGAAAATCTCCCTTTCCCTCCATCTGTCCATGCTTTATTTTTTGTGTTTGTGAGCTTTTCAAAATTTAGTCATAGCTAATAGGTATACATATAAACCAGTGAATATCCTATGTCAAGGAAAAGAAAGGGTACAAATTTGGACAGAGTCAGTGTATATACAGTTTGTGGAGAACAAGTTAATAAAAAAAACAAACTAGCATCATTAATCTCTAAGGCCTTTGAAAAGTACTGAAAAATCACGAGTTCTATCTCCTTCCTTAATCTCTTCTAACCAGGCTTGCTTTTCTTGAAGTAACAACCTTCAAAATACAGAACTTAGTTTATGTCAGTTTTTTAAAATCTCTAATAGAAAGTAGCACATTTTAAGTTCCCATATGCTAAGCACCATACAGCCTGCTTTAAAAAAAAATCTACTACTGTATTCTCTTTGAAGTCTTCTTAAGAGTCTTATTAAGTAAGGTATTATTCTTGTATAAAAGAAGAAACAGAGGTATTGGTTAAGAAACTTGTCTGAGGTCATTTAATTGATAATATTCAGGCCTTGCATTCTAGCCTAGGTCAGAATGACTCAAGTGTGCATCTTTTACTGAACTGTGCTCTCTCTCAGAGTCTTAATGCTTTTTTTTCTTCCTAATTTAATAAATATTTTTCCAGCTCCTAAGTTAAAGAGGCTTTTGTAGACTAGTCTAGCCTAGGAGTCTAGCTAACATCTTTACAGTTACTACTATGATAAAACACATTTCAAATTCATGTATCAGCTTACAACGGAGCTTTTGGGGTGCACATTCATAGTTATTTAGGTTCAGAAACACCTTGGGTAAAACTGCAATTCAGACCCAGCCTTCCCAGCCTTTTCTTGACATTTCAGTTCCCATCTCAACACTCCTTTGCATCACAGGTACCACCATTTTTGTTTTTCTGTGCTAGCAACCTTGGAGTCATAATCATCTTGCCTGGCATCTTTGTGAACTGCATACTTGGTCTGTCACTAAAGGTTGTCACTTCTCACTAAAGCTCATTGTAGTTTTGTTGCATGTAATTCCACTCCTGTTGTGGTCATGCTGCATACCCTGATGTGTCTCATCTCCCTCCCTATTGCCATCTTTTTCTTTTTTCCTTCTAGAAATAGCCACTGAGCACCTAATCTGACACAAGCCTTTTTTTAGGCACTTGAGAGTCTTAGTTTTGCCACTGTCTGTGTGGACTCAAGAAAATCAACATCCCTTGGACTATGATTCCTTGTCTCTTGGGTAGGATTATTTATCCTTGCCTTATCTCAAGAATAAGTGGCTTACTATGAGGATCTAAAAGATATGTATGTTAAAGGGTAGGACAAACTGTACCGGGAAGGAGATGGAAATTTAAGGTGGTATGTTGCATTTGTGTGTTCAGGATTAAGAGTAAAAGTGATAGTAACTTCTGAATAAATCAAATTTTGTACAACTCAACTGAAACAGTGTTATTCTGTTTTGCAGACAATGGTACATGGACTCAGCTCTGGTTGGTGTCAGATTATCACGAGCATGGATCCCTTTTTGATTACTTAAACAGATACACAGTTACTGTGGAAGGAATGATCAAACTCGCTTTGTCCACAGCAAGTGGTCTTGCCCATCTTCACATGGAGATTGTTGGTACCCAAGGTACCTCTTTAAGGAGTATTATCATTTAAGTTTTAAATTTCCATGAATCTAATGTATATTCAAAAATAGAAGTCAGCCTCACTAAAAGTATTTAAAATAGATTTTTTATGAGAACATTCTTTAGAAAAAATTTTTCTAAAATTTTTCTTTAGAAAAATTTGAGTTAGAAACTTTAGATCCTACAGTGATAACAATATTGATATTTTTGTGATTGCTTAAAAGTAGCATTCAGCTTCATTTATTTTTTTTGAGAATCTCAGTTTTAAAATTCAGTTGTCCATGTATTTTTATGTACAGTGTCAAATGAAATACAAAAGTGCTTTTTAAACATCAGCATGCTATATAAGTGCCATCTGTCCATCTATTAATTATGTTTGACTCTTAGAGAAGAACACATGATACAGTTTTGTAGTTGTCAAATTTAATGCAAAGTTTTAGTTAAGAACTAAATCTTAAAACAACTCCTCTAAATCTTAAAACAACTTTTTACTTTTTTATATTTAATTTCCCTTTGTTTATTCTTTCTTAATCGTTGTCTTTTTTCTCAAAGTTTACTCTTATGGATTTGTATGAATGCCATAATTCTACAAATAGTAATTTTTTGCTGTGATTTTTATGCAGTGTAAGATATCAGATGTTAACAGACCTCTTTATTCTAGCTGTTATCCATTTGCTACCTGATGGCTCCACTACTTCCCACCTATTGCATATGTACTATTTCACATCTTAGCCAGCCTTATCTGTGTTATTGCTATCACTGACTGTGGCAGCTTTTTGAGTTGTAATTCACATATCATACATTTTCACTCATTTAAAGTGTACAGTTCTTGACTTTTGGATATTCAGAGTTGTGTAGCCATCACCACAATTTTAGAATGTTTCATCACTCCAAAAAGAAAGCCTGTAGCTATTAGCATGTATTCCCTTTTCTCCCTAAGCTTCCTACCCTAGTCAACCACTAATCTACTTTCTGTCTGTATGGATTTGCTTAATCTGGACATTTCATACAAACAGAATGATACAGGATGTGGTCTTTTGTGGCTGGCTTTTTTCACCTACCATATTTTCAGCATTCAACCATGTTGTAGTGTATATCAGTATTTCCTTCTTTTTAGACTAACATTCCATTGTATAGATATACCACATTTTATGTATCTGTTCATCAATTGATAACTATTTGGGTTCTTTCCAGTTTTGGCCATTGTGTAGTGAACAGTTAGTGTACAAGTTTTTATGTAACTATATGTTTTTAGTTATCTGGGTTATATAACCCTAGGTGCAATCCAGGAATGACAGGAAAAAGAAGTGATCCATATGCTTGGTTCCTGGGCTGAAATATCAGGGTTCTTTTAAAGAATTCAGAAGATAACAATAAACAAACTGATAACTTTTTTCACCCCATTGTTGAGTTGTTAGACTTATGTTGTTTGGGCATAGTTTTTTCAACTTCATATCGTATCTGAACAACTTTAAACTTTACTGTTGTGGCTCATACAGCACAACATTTGGTCTGTCAACATTAATAGTCTCAACCAGTGTTTATTAAGTAAATAATGTAGTGACTAAATTAGTCATGAGTGCTTTATAACTTTATAACCAGCATGGTAAGTTAGCTGGAGTTTGCTTTTCTAGAGCAGAACAGTGTCTTGTGAAATTTAGATCACTCCTTTAATAGAAGCCCAATACAAGACTTGGGTTAGTACATCATCAAATGCCTTAAGTGTCCCAGACATTGAGAAAAGATGTGATTGAGCATCATCTTTCGGAGCATCTAATTGTCTCCATTTTCTTTAAAGACAGAGTTTAAGCAGCTTTTGGTATAGTGAGTCATTAAGATTATTTAATAGTAGCCTGGGTGGTTCAGGTGATATGGTTGAAATGCCTTCATACTGGGTCAAGGAGGAGAGGCTTTTGAACCTAAAGGTGAGAATTGTGATTGGTATCGCTTCTTAAACAATCATGTTTAATTTTTGACTCTTTAGGAAAACCAGCCATTGCTCATAGAGATTTGAAATCAAAGAATATCTTAGTGAAGAAGAATGGAACCTGCTGTATTGCAGACTTAGGACTGGCAGTAAGACACGATTCAGCCACGGATACAATTGATATTGCTCCAAACCACAGAGTAGGAACAAAAAGGTATGCTTGAATAAATTGTATTTAATATTCCCTGAAATCAACTTCTTTTCCTTCTCCTCCTCCTTGCATACAGATATATTTGCTGAAACTCAAACTTGGTACTTTACTAGATTGTCCCACAGATAGAAGCTCTCATAGTCTTTCCTGCTCTGAAACCAAGAATTACCTGATTTAAAAAGATACCTGCTGATGAAAGGCAGCCCTTGAAGAAAATACTATCATTAATTAGGATAATTGTAATGAGAACAGTAACTAATGTTAGTAAGATACCTACTATGTGACAGTCATCTTAATAGGTATTTTTAAAATATATATTGTCTTCATTTAATGTCCTTCTCAAATGGTGTGCTGTAGCTAGCTTGTTTTCATATTTTCAGTTACTTGAAGAAATACCTTTCTTCCTTAGAAACTTTGTGTGTGCTGTGTCCTAGAACATACATTCCTTTATTGTTTCCTTAACATAAACCCTTCCTTTCTCACAGGAAGTCTTCTCTGGTCCTCAGAATTCTTAGAAAACCTTTTCTGATCTCTGCCCTGCCAAGGTCTCTAATAGCATACTGAACTTGGACCCTTGAGGCACTTACCACATTGTGCTGTAACTGTCCATTTATGTGTCCATATAATTCCATTGGATTGCAAGCTGCTTGAGAACAGCCTTGTATTTCCAGTATCCATCACAGTGTCAAATGTGTAGAAATCCTTAATATTTGTTGAATCCATGAGTTCTCAAAAGAACCTCATTAGGTACGTGCTGTTATTGTTAATTCACAGATGAGTAAATCACCTTGTATAGGTTAAGTAATCTGACTAACTTCATGTGAATAGTTCACTAAAGAGCTGAGATTTCTGGCCCAAAGTTCATGTCCTGTTTATCACATCATGTCACATTTCTTCAAAACTACTGCCTTGACAAAAGCCAGCAGCTGTAGCCAATCTAAATTGTCTTTAGGATTTCTGGAATCAGTGGGACTCAGAATTCTTGAGTGGCCAAGAGATCCTCAACAGTGATTGCTGCAAGTCTTCCTGGGTCCTGACCTGTAATCTTAGCAAGGTTTTTGAAACTGCAGAACCCTATATATCAGTGTGAGGACTGGCATTCGTTTTTGTCTATTATTTTGTTCCCTGAAGTATGTCCTTGCTCTTTTTCATTTTGTCTTAGATTAAAATATGTAGTCCCTGCATAGTACATGAGGCTGGTGTATATGAGAGTATTTGTAACAGTCACAACCGTTGTATATGTATCTTTCACAAATCAAGATCAGAACGCAGATAGCATGAAACTGCCATTTCAGCATTTCAGGGGATTTAATTGACATCATTAATTTGCAAAACAGTATGAATATTTAATATTTTTCCTGAGTCTAATATGATCTCCGTTATATTGTTTGTATGTGTTTGTGTATAGAAAGATGTCTGAAAGGATGTTTATTCAAATGTTAACACCGGCCATAAGGGAATGATTTTATACTTATGTACCTGGGGAAACTTTTATAAGAAAAGTGAACCATTTAAAAAATCAGCACATCTTTTTTCTCTAAAGGAAGAAAAAATTAATAATAGTGTCCTCTCCAAGAGTTTTTTAAAAATATGAAACAATTAAAAAACAATGTGGCTAACATTGAATAAAATAAAATGTTTGACCTCCTTTTTAGGTACATGGCCCCTGAAGTTCTAGATGATTCCATAAATATGAAACATTTTGAATCCTTCAAACGTGCTGACATCTATGCAATGGGCTTAGTATTCTGGGAAATCGCTCGACGATGTTCCATTGGTGGTAAATTGCTCTCCTTTCCCCCAACAGTTTGTCCTAAATAGAAGTTGTTCAAGAATTTCCTTTTTTTTTTGTTGAATGAAATTTTACAGTCAGTGGTCTGACAAGGTGATCACTGAGTGTACCAGAGAAAACAAAGGAGATAAAACCTGGAGTGAGGGAAAAGACATAGCATGCCAGTGCACAGCTGTGTCCTAGTGTCTTCTGATTCCTTTTGACTCATGGGCAGCATCAGAACCCAATTTCATGCTATCTTGTACTGTAGTTAGACTGAATGGCCCCTTGAGAGACCACCGAGAGAGCTGTTTGTAGCAGAGACCTTGGTCACACTTTTTTTCCTTGAGATTGTGGTTATTTTCTCCAGCTTAATCACTGGAGATTAATGTAATGGTAATTACATTAACATTGCATTACCTTTTAGAGTAAGTTTTTATTAATTTTTAGGCTTCATTTTAGATTGAGCACTTGTGTTTACTCAAGAAAGAGTCTGTTAGGCTTAGGGGTCCAGGCTTGGCTGAGATCTAGGTCCTCAAGTGTTTGAGGGACAGAGTATGCCTTGTTATTACAGCAAATGGCTCATATTATTGACAGATGCAAGTAGAGGAAGGGATTTGCACTTCAGGCTTGCCTTGTGGGAGCTGTATCTCACTGATAAGAACATGTACCTCTGTACCCGGTGAGAGGCTATACATTCATAATCTCACTTGCTGTCCAGTCAGATATTAGGGGGGAAATGTCAACCTAACCACCACAGCTCATCGGTAGCCATCATTAAAAGTACTAGACAGAAATTAAGAGACCTTACTTTAGTCCTCGGCCTCCTATTCTCACCAACGTTGACTTTTGGCGGACACCGGTCGTTTACTTCTCTGGGAACTTAACGTCTCTTCTATTAAAATGATCTTGGATAAGATGACTGTGAAAGCAGCTCCAATGGTTTTGCATTTTTATTCATCTGATTGCTCAGATGACCATTAACCAGGAGTTTGGGCAAAATGCTTTTCAACATGTCTGACCGTCTTATCCCCAGCTCTTATAAAAAGCTTTTGAGTTATCTCTTAGTTGTAAGTTTAAAGAATTCATAACACAAAATTTATCTACCCTTAATTGGCAGCTGTTAGCGGCAACTATTAAAATTATGATTTTGATGAAGCAATCTTTGAGGTTGAGTTTTGTAGCTTAAGAAGAATAAAAAACTGGCCACATCAGTAGTTAATTTTACATCTTAAAATAATGTAGGACTCCATAGAGCCTCTGATATCCAGAGGGTTTGCTACCTCCATCAACATGAATTATCCAGGCCCAGAAGAGATAGTGTTCAGAGAATTGGCACGTGACATAGCTTGACAAACAAGAGTGTCTTTTTAAAATGTTATCTGGATACTTATGTACAGATTTGAAGTATTCATATACCCATTTAATGATTAGGGCAGATCATTATTAAATGTGACCTTTGAACATGAGGAAAAGTTAGTTAATAATAGAAATAGGTGCGATTTACACTTGCTGTCACATCATGTTTAATTATGCCATCACTGTTGTTTTTATTTTTTCTCAATTTGTTTTTTTATGTTCTTATCACTAGTTTAATCTTTACTTTTCTAAAAAGGTTTATTAATCTCTTAATAGTTGAAACATGACAGGAATATGAAACTGATAAAATACCTAAATAAGTCTCTTCCAGAGTCTTGAGACTATTTACAGTCTATACTGGTGGCTCTCAAAGCCAGCCGTATAGCTTTCATATTGGGATTGCCTTTGCTTTTTATGTTGAATCCTCCTTCTGTGCTCTCATGTCTTTCTGTATCTTGGTTTATTCATAGTTCCCCTCTTTTAGGTCTCCGCTCAAATGTTGCCTTGTCAGTGAGACATCACCTCTTTACCTTTTAAAATAGAGTACTCCTCTCCTGGCATACTTTATCTCCTCTGAAATAAATGTTCTCTTTAGCATTTACCACTGACAGTCCATGTATTTTATAGTAATTTTATTATGTGGCTTAAGCCACTGGAATGTAAGCTTTGGGGATTTTGTCTGTTTTTTCACTGCTATGTCCCTAGGACCTAAGATGGTATCTGGCATATGTTGAATTGAATACATGTATGTGTTGGCATGTAGTCCTTTTACTCTGGAAACACATTCTTTTCTAAAAAGTGTTCCTAAAGTAGTCTTGGATTGCTTCACTTCCATTTTCTTCTGTTCTCTTTCTTCAGCTCCAGTTATATTAGACCTCCTGCCCTTTATTTATTTATTTTTTTACTTTTTGTGTTCTCTTAACCCATCTTTTTCTCTTTTTTTTTCCTCCACTTTCCAAGAGGTTTATCAGCTCACCTTTCAGTTTTTCTATTCTGTTTTTTCCATTTTTTGTCTTGTATTTTTAATTTCTAGAAGCACTTGTTTGTTCTGTGAATATGCATGTTCACTACTTACTAAACATTGTTAGTCCGTTACTTGACATTCGAGGGAAGGCTCTAATGTGAAGTACAGGGACTGAAAGAAACACTGGAAAGCGGCAAAGCAACCTTGCTTAAAGAAACTATCCAAAGAGAATAAAGTGTAAAGGTAAACAAAAGTCAGGCGCTATCAGTGATACATACAATGTCTATTTGAGGAAACAGTTACCTCCTTGAGGTTACTAATAATAAATTTTTTATTTTTATTTTTTGGGGTGCTGGGAATTGAACTCAAGGCCTCCTCTATGCCAGGCAGGTGTTCTACCACTGCACTATACCCACAGTAGAGTTTTTTATATGTTGTTCTTGCTGTACAGTTTGTTTGCTCCAAGTTGCTTTTTCCTGTTTGTTTCAGTTTTCCATTTCCGGTTACTTTCCTCAAATGTATGATCAGACTCACTCTCTTCATGTTTAAAAAGGAATCTGAGAACTGACAGGAAACCCTGTGTTTATTGACTGTGCTCTTGACATGCTTTTGCTTTCTTGGGGAAAGCAAAAAAACCTCTCTTGAGGTCTTTCTCTTGGGCTGCTCAGATTTCCAGAGAAGATTCTTCCAGTGTCCTTCCCAGAGTAGTAGGAACAAGGTGCTGTCCATGTTTTGGGGAGAAAACTTACAGTTTTAGTGTTCATTATGTTTCTACTATGAAACTAGTGCCCTGGTGTTCTCTCAGGGGAACAACCTCCATAGTCTTCTGCTGGGGTAGAGGTTGGCAGTCATCCAATTGTGTGAAGTTGTGGGTGGCCAGGTATCTGGGTATTCCAGCTCTTTGAACTGATCCTACCATTTTTTACCCTGAGCTTTACCCTAAAGGCACTTCGTGCAGTTAATTTCTCAATTTGGGGATGTTTCTGGGTCAGGTTCCTTTGCCTTGTCCAGCACTAGTTCAGGATTCAGCAAGTCATCTTTTGTCCATCTCCTTTCCAGCATCTGGCAACTTCACCCTCCTGATGGAAACTTCCCATCTGTTTGCTATTACAAGTAATACTAAAAAAACCCCTATACATATATACTTTTAAAAGAAAAGTTGCAGATAAAGATTCTTATCCAGATTAAGGCAAGTGGAGCATGCATTAATCACTTTTCTTATGTTTTTTGTAGGCCTTGAGAGTGATGGCTAAAATCATGAGAGAATGTTGGTATGCCAATGGAGCTGCTAGACTGACTGCTTTGCGAATTAAGAAAACATTATCACAACTCAGTCAACAGGAAGGCATCAAAATGTAATTCTACAGCTTTGCTGGAACTCTACTTTTACTAAAGATCTGCTCCTGGGTTTTCATTTGGGAGGTCAATTGTTCTACCTCACCAAGAGAGAACAAAAGGATATAGCTTCCTTTGGCAACAGTGTAATAAGGTCAATTGAATACTTCCCAGAATTTCTTTGGACCCAGGAAACAGCCACATGGGTCCTTTCTGTGCACTATGAACGCTTCTTTCCCAGGACAGTTATAAAATGTTGTGTAGTCTACCTTTATTTTTTATTAACAAAGCATCTTTTTAAAAAAGATGATTAGTGGTCTTAACTTTAGGGTGACTCTTTTGTGCTGATCATCTTTAAGAGTAAAAGAGCTGGATTGTTGAACTATATAAAACATTTCTTATTTTTCAAAAAAGTGATTTACTCCTGGTTAGTACATTCTCAGAGGATTCTGAACCACTAAAGCGTTTCCTTGATTCAGACTTTGAATGTACTGTTTTTCAGGATCTTAAAAGTAACACTTATAAAACTCTTGAGTCTAAAAATGACCTCATATAGTAGTGAGGAACATAATTTATGCAATGGTATTTTGTATACTATTATTGTTCTTTCACATATTCAGAACATTACATGCCTTCAAAATGGGATTGTACTATACCAGTAAGTGCCACTTCTCTGTCTTTCTTATGGAAATGAGTAGAATCTCTTAAAGTCTCTGTGTTAAATCCTGTAGTGTTTGAATTCAAAAAGTTTATTTATCTGGGTAACCCAAACCTTTTCTGTTCTGTTTTTTAGAAGGGTTTTTGTGCTATGTTGTTCATTATTCCATTTTGAAGATGCCTTTCTCCTACCAAAATGTGCTTGAACCACTAAAGAAATGCAGTGGCATTAATAATGGTCATGGTTGGAATATTCTCACATTGAGTTTGCAGTTGTGTTGTCCGAGTGTATTTTAGAAAGTCAAGTGGCACTCTAGATGCTTACAGTGCTTTAATTATGTAACCTTTGTAGCATATAGACTAATTTTTCCATAAGGGGAGATTTGTCTAGTTGCTTGTGAAAAGTTGTGTGGTATTCTGTAAGCCATTTTTTTTCTTTATCCGATCAAAGACAGTGTTATTTTTTTAATAAATGAATCACATTTAAGATTAGAATATGGTTAATGTTAAATAATAGACCTTTTTCTAGGAAGGCAAAGGTGGTTAATTTGAATTGACAGCAGATGTGCGTGACTGTCACATTTGTTATGTAGGTGTGTTTGGTGGATTCTGTCTTTGTAAGGTTATAGTTAGTGTAGTTTTGAGGTCTCGCTACACTTTGAGGAAGGCAGCTTTTAATTCAGTCTTTCCTTATCTTGTGCAGATACTGCATCTGCTTGACTTAAATGATTACAT